CAGGACCGCAGTATTGCTTAACAAACCACACAGCTCTAGACAGCAGCAGAGACCTACAGGTTCTGAAGACCACAAGTGTTCCTCGTATTGGATTTACTTCCATTAGACACAGGGTCATGACTGCTGACAACCTGAAACAACATCCATTAAAACCTGTTTACAAAGCCTGCGCACTGCATCGGAATCATTATGGAAAGGCCAAACTCGAATTATTCTGCCTTATAGGTAGAAATATATATTAAATTAATGGACATTTACTTTAGATCTAAAATGAGAATACGGTAAACTATAATAAATAAAAATACAAATCATCAGGCCATCACACTTTGTTACCTCTCTCAGGGGTTTTAAAGGAATTTATAGATTTTTGTGTCACCCATCAACACCTCACTGCTTCACAATGACACTTGCTCTTCAGCGCGTACATGACACCTACTCGTAGTTCAAGGAGAGAGCTGCGTCAGCATGCCTGGGCGGCAAAGAAACAAGTAAAAGTTTATTCCCTGCTGAGAAGAGAAGCAGAGAAACAACATTTCAGCTGTGGAGGCTTCGACAGGTGTGAGAAAGAGAGGAAAGTCAGCAGCTGATAAAGCAAAAGAGAACAAAAGGCAGGAGTGGAGAGGAGGAGGGAGCAGAGTGGACACTCAGGTGGTGGGAATTTCAAGTCAAAACCTGAAAGTGAACAGAGTGGATTAGAAGAAAACGACTCTGTCGTTGAGAGAAGGGGGAAGGTGTGATCCTAGTTTCAGAATAATTCCAGATGTGTACCTGCAATAGGAGTTGAGAAACCCATCTTTGAGAACACAGGCGGAGAGATCAGTACGATCATGGCTGTTAGAGGTAAAATGAGAAACTCTGGGCTTGGAGAGATCTTTGATGCTCACAGGCCTGACATGTTCCCTGAAGGGGTCTCCCAGTCTCCTTCCTGTTTCCCCAATGTAGATAGCATGAAGCCTACTGTCCATGTAGAAGAGCTACTGTGTAGGACCAATCCATTAAGCACCAATGAGTGGGGAAGAACTGAGAAACACTTCTGGTGTTGCATGTTCTTAAAACAAGTTATGGTTTAAGTCTAAACTAGACAAGAATCAGCACCAAACAAATGGGTTTACAAGCTTTCTCTCTACACAGTAAGTACCGCTGATCCAATTATCAACCATCTCTTGGAAGAAGCCAGGGGGTCTGGCCATGCTGTTGGAGCTGAGTAGCTTGTCCCACTCTCCCACAACAATTTGTGCAAAGAGATGTCTCCTGTTCTCAAATTCAAATGCACTTTCACGTAATTTCCACTTAGGAACTGTAGTTCACAGGTTGGGTTTACTGTCAACTGTCACTGCCTTTGAGGGTTCTGAAGACTTGAATCAGATCCCCTCAGTCTTCTCTGTAAAGGACTGTAAAAGCCTAAAGACGGTCAGCTATTTTAGCCCGATAGTGCAGGACATTCCTTCAAGCACTGTAATTCATCTGGTTGCTGTTCTCTGGTCTAATTCCAGAGGGGCAATGCCATTAACACTTTTGACCATAGTGTACCACTGTATTGTTAGTGAGGTCTGATGACTGTATTGTATCATTAACATAACATTCCTTGATTTAATGATATGCGTTCGACAATCCTAACATTTTCTTTGCCTTTTGTAGTGCCAG